TATATCTTATTATTGATCTTTACATTATATCAATATGTAAAATTCAATTTTTCTTCTCATTCCCTGCCGGACTAATCTTATTCTGCATTACCAGTAAAGCATATCCCTGCCCATTTGCTTCGTGGATATCCATGGGCAGACAGGCAACCCGACTTATTGTGTAGGTTGTGGAAGCATCTTATATATATAGTTATAATTTATATTTTACTATTTCCAGGCTCTTCTACCAATTATCTTAGCACAGTTTCCTGATAGTGTATCCACGAAGCAAATTATCCACTACGGGCAACTCATCAATTCCGGTAAACGTTTATTCCTTATCATTTATCATAATAATAAATTTAGTAGACACTGGTTCGATCAGAGTGTCATAAAAATTGCTGTACATCCTACGTAGCACAGCAATGTTTATAAAGCGCTTAAAAAGGGCAAGTGCATGATTCTAGCAGCTTTTAAAAGCGCATATAATCAGCGCAAGATAAATGCAGTAATAAATGCATAATTATTTTTTGATCAGTGTGACTTGAGATCGGCCGAGTTATTCACACGCAATGAAAGTGCATAATTGACAGCAGTTTTGGGAGGTGCAGTCGCAAGAGCGCTCCCAAAACACTTTGCAAGCGCTATTGTGTTACGTGAAAAAGTGGTGTATATTATAGATATAAAGATACTTAAGTGCAATAGCATAGTGTAAGTGCTTTGAGCGATAAAATATTAAATATACATTTTGCTAATATGTGATAATATTTCATCGTTCAAGCAATTTATATTATGTTTTTATCATTAAATATTTTTATGTATACTTTTAACGCATACTAGTGCAGAGAAATAAAAGCGATAAAACTCTCTCGCTAATATAATACATATTATGTATAAAGATATATAGTATATCTATCGTAATATTCATTATATTAAAATTTCTTAAACACGTTTCTTGTAATAACAATAGTAAATTTGTCAACAGGATCGCTGTTACCTAATAAATTCAAAAAATTTGACTACGGAATATTAGGCAACATAAATGTATACGGTTTACCCAATCCACCGAATTATGATTTAAGCAAGATCAAAGTCCCGGTCTATTTATATTATAGTGAAAAATGATTGGTTAGCCAATGTCAAGGTTCGTATTTTTTTTTTTTTTTTGAAAAAATTGTTTATTTGACTAAATTAATTTAATTGTCTTTACGTCTTTCATTGGAGAATGTATATATTTAAATTAAATATATGCTTGACTTAAACACACATTTCATCGAAAAAAAAATAAAAAACAAACTAAATTAATTTAATCAAATGAATAATTGTTTTTAGTGTTTAATTTGTTCGTATCGAATATCTTTGTATTGACATTTGTCAAGAAAATTAAAATATATTTTCATTTCACGCTGGATTTAAACGTCAAAGTGATTATACAGTATGATCCCCGTTAATGCTCAATTATGATAAAATCAATTGAAAAAATCAATAATCGATCAACCTGGGCCTCTATTCGTCAAAAGAAGATATACGAAACACTACAGGCATACACTACAGTATACATAATGTATATTATAGTATTTCCCTAATCTTTCTTATAAGTTTCTTTTCAAGAATAGAGACCCTGAGTTCCAATTTGAGCTAGATTTAAATCAGTCTTTCATTTGAAAAATGCTTCTCAAACCATGATCTAACAAATTTGATTGGTTCAAACACTTTGGTTCAAATCTAATTCGTCTGAAATGAGGATTAATCGTAAATCGATCTATATGACTATGAATACAGATCCTAGTGACGTTGCATTTATCTATTTCATTCAAAACTAGGTTCAGTTAAGTTCTTCAATAAAATCGCAATACACTATAAATACTAATTAAAATGTAGTCATTGTAGTCACGTGATTGAAACCAAAGATCAAGCGTCAAATAAAATTGTAGTGTAACATTTCTGCGAACAGTTTAGCTTTATTGTGATTTTTTCGTAGGATGTGAAAAAATTATATAAGGAGTTGGGTAATCCGTCCGGTAAAACTTTAATTGCGGATAAGAAATTTAATCATTTGGACTACATGTGGGCTAAAGATGTGAAGAAGCTTGTATATGATCACGTAATCGATAGAATGAAGAAGAAGTCTTCGCAATGAAGTGCCGGCATTCTTTCAAATTCCTGCGGTAATTAATTTATGGAATTTGATCAGGAATATGTCTTTCTTATCAACAGAGTTATTTTATCTCAAGCTGAATTTATTCGATATATACCAGTATAAGTTATCACTCTTTTGTTAATATATTCGCATTTTCATAAAATATTTTATCAATTTGAAATATTTTGTCGATGTTTAAATTAACAAACATATATCTTACATTATTATCTTACACTCATCCCTATAAATTTTCCTTCTGTCGTATTATTTATTTTTTACTCGTTTAGTATTTTTATTTATCACTCATTATTACATTATCTTTACGTTATCTTACTCATATGATATATTTCAATAATAAAATAAGAAATTTTGTAATTTATAAAAATTATCCATAAAATAAATTATCTATAAATTTTGTAACATCAAAGATCAATTAATAAATTAATAAAGTGAAAGAATTAAACTTATACATTATGATAGTAATAAGAAGTCAATGAGTGGTATTCATAATTCATTCTTGTGTTTTAAGACTGTTTTAAGTAATACGTCTATTTCTTAATACGTCTATTTTATTGATTCATGACATTTTAAATGTTTCAGATCTTAAATATAAAATCCATGAATCCGATCTATGAATATCTGTCAACGATTAAATTAAAATAAATAAAATTATACACACAAGAATCAATTAATGATATAAAGAGGAATAATCTTTACGAGATGGAGAATTTGTGAAATCAATTTTCAAATCATGAATTATAAGAGATTTTCTTGTCGACCTGCATTTTATCAGTGACTGATTACAATCAGTTCTTTTGTTTCTTCCAAAGCGGAAAAAGATCTGCAACTGTGCGCAAAAACTTAAAAAAGCGATGTATCATTTTATGGGTAAACAATCAATCCATTTGACAACAGTCGATAAAATTCTTTTTTTTTTCGAACACTTTAATCACACAGCTTATTAATGCACCAATCGTATTGTCAAATCAGAAATTATAACGGATAGATTACGATAGAGTATTGATATGATCGCATAAAATAGCAAACACTTCATGTCAAGTGGCATTTTCAGTAAATAAGCAGCGTCGTTTATATATACATTGCACATTCGGGAAGAAAATCGCGCATAGTATAATTCAAACCAATCGATTTTTGCATAACGATTTCATCAAGTAACAATAATGCCGCTACCGATCCTTCTCCTCTCGATTCTGGCATCCGCTAGAGCAACGTCGTACTTTTCAATGGATCAGCTGCCCAATGTCCTGCCAATAGACAAAATACCAGCGATCAAAGAATTCAACGATCCGCAATTTTTGGCAACCGTACACGCAGATGCATCGCTTACCGCTGTAAGTGCAGTTATCGAAATTAAAAGTAAATTAAAAAAAAAAGAATATGCGCAGATATAAATTCTATCGATTAAAAGTTGAAACGAGATAACTTTTTGAAAATAACTTTGTATTGTTCAGAGATCATTAATACAATTACAAATATTTAAAAAAAATCTATCAGTTTAATACAAAAATAATATATTAATTTATTCACTTCTAAGAGCTTCTCGTTAAATTATTTACATTTCTGTATCAAACAATTCTAACAAATATTTATATATATATATATTGCTATTTATAACAAATAATTATTTATAATATATTATTTATGACATAATAAATCTAACGAATGTAAATTATTTTTATTGTTTTGATGATGGCATTCCTTAATTTTTTTTATCAATCTTTTGATATTAATTAACCTATTGGTATATCAGAAACTTATTTTATTGAACAGCTAGATCTAGTGAAAAAGTACGGCTACAATGGAGAAGTGCACGAGGTGATCACCTCTGACGGTTACATTTTGAAATTGCATCGGATAACAGGACGAACTAATTTCAACAACTCGCAAGTGCAAAAACCTGTGGCATTCGTGATGCACGGCCTTTTGTGCAGTTCGGCGTGTTTTATCATTTCCGGACCGGAGAAAGGTTTAGGTAATGAAATCGCATTTTTAGCAATTCCTAAACAGAAGTGTACTCGTCTAAAAGTTATGGCACACAAAAAATTTGAGCAACAAGACAATCAGTAAGCAAATTAACATTTTGAATTTACTGCTTACGTTACGTATTCTTTTAGAGCCTAAGCACAAAAATAACTGTAACTGAGTAATGGAACATAAGTTGTAATTGTAAATTGATCAAACATTATTCATTGATCTATAACACGACTTATGACTCAGTTACGACCATCTTTGTGCTGAGGCCCTAGCAATTGACTAATTCGTTTACGTTTTACTATTTCAAGTTTTTTTTGTGCTATAACATAGCTTTTTTTACATGTATCTTCAGATTTTAAAGAAAAATATATTTGACTATATTATTTTAAAATAAAATAAAATCATATAATTACCAATTAAAAATTGAGAAAAATTTTATCTTCAACTTCATTCGCGTTCCAGCGTTTGTATTCGTTTTAATAAAAATATTATATCTTTTGAAATTTTAGCTTTTGTTCTGGCGGATGCAGGATATGACGTGTGGCTCGGTAATGCACGTGGCAATGTATATTCACGCAAACATAAACTCCCGGCTATTCGAAAGGAACTTTACTGGGATTTCAGGTGAGGATAATGTATTAAAAAAATTAAAACCTAGTAAAAAAGAAAAAACGCAAATGTGAGTAAGAAAAACAATTATGTAGGCATTAGTAGGTTTGAAGATACTTAAATATAAGATAGCAGAGACTTGACTGACTTTTGACATAAAAATCAGTCACTGAGTCACTATCAGTCACTGACCTGCCAGCCTGGAAATGTCGTTACATAACTTGCATAATACTCGTTCTAATAGAGTCGCAAGTCGTAAGCCATAAGAAAATGGCCAATCACAGTTAAGTGAGAAGAATAATCTATGATTGGTTAATTTCTTATGGCTTGTCGCTTACGATTCTATTGTAGGTAACTTGCGTCAGTCAATTAAACCGTTTCAACTAGAATAACACATAGTACTTGATGCAATTTGATTGATTGACGCAACTTGTGGCGACTGCACCCTAAGATATTAATCATTAAAGTTTACGACTATTCAGTTTAGGAAATCTGTCAGAATATCAAGTGATTTCCATATGAGGCGCGAGCTTGAGTCTGTCATGAGCCACGTCAGATTTTTTAATAAATTTTACTGTGAATACCATTTCCATATCAGGTCCACAATTGGTTGTCTTAGTGCCATTTCAAATTTTTTTCAAGCGGTTATGGCATGACAAAGTAGTGGCAAAGTATCGTGGCGTGAATATTTCTACCAGGACACCTTTAGTTTTATCGAGAAACTTTGGCTTTGATCACAATCCTGCAGATTCGAGGCATTATTTCGATTAATTTTAACTAAGAATTGTTCGATGAGATAAAAATATATCGCGTCAATAAAATATAGTATTTATTTGTGATGCTTTATTAAGCATTTTCATTATTATGTATTAATAAATATTATGTTTTATTTAAGATTATATATTCGAATAAATAAACATAAGAAAGGTTTCTTTACGAGCTTAAAGTCTAACGTTGCGCGTTTCTTATTACGTATTTTTGTCTATTCCAAAGTTGGTCAATTTTTATTTCGGGTGATAGAAAACAAAAAAACTGAGTAAGAAGCAAAAAGTAGACAATCGTAAAAAGAAAGAAAAGGAAGCAAAGAGCTTATTTATATTGTGGATATCTTCAAAATGTTTTATTCATTTATATCATAAAGTTAAAAGTTGCATTGATATTTATCTTTGAAACAAACTATAAGTTTTTTAAGCGGTAAAACGATCTTAATGTTGAAAATAACTCCGTGTGAATTTATATACCACAATTCCAATCCTGAAAAACAGTATTCAAAGTAATAAAAAAAAATATCGAATTTTCTAGAAGCATGTGATATTTTTTTTAAAAAGTAAATTAGAAACTTGATCGATTCAGCCCTTATTCTCAGATCCGATAATCTTGATCTGGCACAACTCGCCGGCTTGCGTAAAGTAGCCACGGCAGTGTCGTTGCGCGAAGCTTAGCGCCGAGACACTACCAATGTCTCCAGATAATCGCTACAGAGAATGATATGAATAACAATGCAAAAATTTTTAATGTATTCTTGCATTATATATAACAGTCGTAAACGACATAAATATTTATGTATGTACTATGTGTGAAAATCAATTGCCGTAATGTGTGTGTGTGTGTGTGTGTGTATGAGCACATACTATGCATCATATAGCACTATTCAAAGTTGCCATAAAACTAGAAATCGGAAAATTGAAAAATCTGGAAAGTCAGGAAATTTTGCAAAATTTTTCAGAAAATTCTTTACTTTAAATAAGTTTTATGTGCATACATACATTATATTATTAAAAGTCAAGAATTTTATTTATTTACGTATTTTACTTACTTTTTCACATTACTTATATATGCAATTTTGAAATACTATCATCTTAGCAATTAAATGCAAATAATGTCAGCAACATTAATAGTAATTTGCTATATTAAATTGCTCTTTCAGCAAAATATTTGACAGTTTCCAAATCAGTACGAAACTATATAAAATTTCAAAATATTATTGAAAGCATAAGGAAAAATCATTAAATTTTGTCTGAAAGTCAGAGAAAATTATGAAATTTTAGGATGAAAAATGTGTGGCAATTCTGATCTTTATTATATATTTAAAAACAAGTACTTTCTATCTTTTAATAATATCTTTAATCTAGGTAATCGACGACAGCAGTCGGATCTCCTTTTGGTCTTATTTTGCAAGTGCCAGTATAATGACAGATAGTAAGAGATGCCTCATTGCGCATTCCCAATAATCATAAGAATCATACTCGTAGTTTTGACATCTAGGAAACGTATCGTTTAATAATCGTGAACCAAACCGTTTCATTACTTTCGTTCGACCGACACTTATTGCAATTTCAATACCCATCAATCATTGTCTTGACATCTTCTGGATTGTCGAAATAATTTGACACGATCTCAATTTTAACGTTAATGTCATTGGCCAATAATCTTATCCGTCCACGACTTTTTGATCTCAATAATATCAATAGTACAATCCAGCGATAAGTGTTGCTTTGTTCCATATTTGACGCACACACACACACACACACATTCGATTATTTAAACCCATTACAGTCGATAGAATCATATCTCCTTTAAATCCACCATCACAAATAGCAGTTCAATGTCCGGTAAACCGTGGAGTTTCACTGAATACTTGATGTCAATGAAAGCGAGGATTTCGCACTCTAGTCGTTATTGATCCCGATTGCTTCATAAAAAAATCTCTCATATACGGATAAATGGGATTTATCACATCAGCTGGTTGAAGACTTACTGGATCATCTACTGTCCACGTTAGCTCACCAAAAGCTACGTCATCAAATTTTCATCAACCGGCAAATCCCGGATGACGTTTATGCCAAGCTCACTAAGATGTTTGGCCAATCTGATGCCAGACAACATCAGTAATTGTGATGATCCGATGGCACCCGCGCATAAAATTACCTCTTTGCTCGCAAACACGTTAATAATTCGACGATGTTTGATAAATTTCACGCCAATCGCCCGATTTGTATGACGATCAATCAATACTTTTTTCATCCTGCTTTCGCGTGCCGCATGAAAATTCTGGCGATTTCTTGCTAGGTGTAAATAGACTCTGTTGCTGCTCATGCGGATGCGATTTATCGTTGTGGCCTGCACATACGAAAATCCTATTATATTCTTCCCGTTATAATCTAACAGCGGGTATCCCAGCTCTTTGCGTCTAAGAAAGCTTTTGCCAATAGCGTATGGAATAACGGATAAGAGATATGTAACGGTCCCTTAATTCCGTGATAAATAGTGTCAGATTGCAGCTCTGGGATATCGATTGTCTCCAATTTTTTAAAGTATTTGAGGACATCCTTGTAAGCCCAACCTTCGTTCCCCATCTTAGCCCATCGATCGTAATCTTCGGCGCTGGTTGCGATCATGTAGTTTAGCATGCTGCTACTGTCCATTACTTTGCCTCTAAGCCAGTTACATCTGTTGCCTTCCATGCCAAGACAATATTTGTTGGACGATTTGGTTTGATACTTCCAATTGATATCGTTGCTTAGCTGCAACATGAGAACGAGAAGCGGGATCTCCATAAGAAAATTCTCTTTAGATCCAGCTTCGATCAATAACACTTCAACCTGATGAATCTCACTTAACTTCGCAGCTATCGTGGCACCGGTCGTTCCGGCACCTATTACCACGAAATCGTACACTGCTCCAAATTGCGGAACCATATCCGGTACTTCCTGGTTCATATAATGTTGACCTTGCAAAAAGTTTAGAGCTCCGATGCCAAAATCAAGTATATTTGTATATACTTCATCAAGTATATTCAACTCGCGTCGGTTCACGTTATCGCCGTAAAGACTGTGTATCGTTTCATTGTCGATTGTCCGCTCGATTGCAATGGAATAATTATGGCGATGGCAGTAAGAAGGTGAAGGAGCCTTGGTATCTTACCCGGCATATTTAAATTGACTATTGGCTATTGGACGTCTCGAGGCACGATAATAGAAAATAGCACTTAGAAGTTCGCCTGGCATATATACAGATATTGAGATCCATGTTCAACGAGTGTTACTGTATGCATAAATATCCATATTATTCAACAAACACATCAAACAAGAAAAAATACGGTAAATGATGCACACCGTAACGAGAAAAAAAAAGTATATCTCACCTGTCAATTAATTCTAGGATAGCAAAGAAAAAAAGGA